TAGCCGTACAATGCCCTTTACTGAACTACTTTCTACTAATAGCCAAACTATATATATGGGATTGCAGAAGATCACAAACTCGTCCAATTATTGCAGGGTTTAAGTTAAGGATTAATATTAAATTCGAAACAGAAAAATATATTTGTACCAAAAATAGAACTTTAAGTGACTTTTATAAAAAATGGGCGATATTGTGCACCGCGTAACGCTTTATTATTATTAGTATTATTATTATTACAGTCTAGGCCGTTCAGTTCTCTTTACTTATCCTTCTAAATAAAAAAGAAAAACACTTATACTTAATCTATATATAATCCTCTTATACTTTTCTGTTGCCACTGTGTTTATAGTGTTAGTATTGTAAATTATGTTAGTAATCACTTTAGTTTAAGTTATTAGTCGTCAATAATTGTAATTGTAACTTTCTTTTCTTCTTTCTATGTAAAAAAAGTAATGAGTACGGTGTTGTAAGTAGTGTAAGCACTGTAAGTTGTGTTAAGTAACATTTTGTAAGTAGTGCTTGTGTTGTAAAAAAATAAAAAAAAAATTATTATAAAAAAAAAAAAAAAAAAAAAATATTTCGTTTTGGAAACTTTAGAAAACAGGGGCTGTGATTTACGACCAGGCATTTTTTTCCCCTCTTTTTAGTCTGTTCAGTAGATTTGGATAAAATTTGGACCGGGTCGTTCTCCTACCAAGTCAAATATTTCCTACCGAAGCAAGGGCCTTAAATCCCTCTCGTAGCGAAGGTTTATAATCTTGTCGAATTTCGCATCGTGTGTGGATCACACAGCGAGGCAGAAACACAAGTTGGCTTATTTCTGTATACAATTTCTCAGTACACCCGCGCGGGAAAAAAATAAACAAGTCACAGTGCTTCGCTTGACTTCCAAAGAATTTCAAAAACACTCCACTTGGGATGAAAAATTAAAAGTACATGTCACCTTACCCAAATCGTGGTTCTAAAGGTCGTTAACAAAATGGATCGCGTGAAAGCGCATGAACTAACAAAATACAACTTTAAAAAGTTGTAAAGTTTATGATTCGACAAGTTCCAACATCGAAATATAAATTGGACCCGGCCGTGAAGTGGGAACAAGCTAATTTCAAAGGTACCATGTCCGTTTGAGTTGTATGTTAATGAAAAGTCTCACCTCCTTTAGTATCGGCGCCGCTTACGCGTCCAAGTTTGCACAAAGAACGTGAGCGGTGCTTAGTTTGATCTAACTCTCGCCAAAGCGCACGACTTAACAATATGCAACTAACAATATACCACTTTGTGAAGTTTATGATTCCACAAGTCCCAACATCGACATACAAATTGTTTTATAATAGCAATATCAGACCACGATGTGAAAGGTAAGTTCCATGTCAAAATTTCGTAGGTAACGAGTCCTTCTGATTTATATATAGAGGATATTACATGGGCGCGCGGAGATACGAAATTTCTCTTCGAGTTGAAAAATATTTCACCAGTGAGCGCAGCGAATGAGTGAAATATTTTTTTAACACGAGAAGAGGAATTTCGTATCTCCAAGCGGCCATGTCATATTCTATTTATTACATAAACACCAATGAACTACCAAACCATTTCACTTTAATAGTTTATTACGTAGCCATAGCAACGGTGATATTTTCACCTGTGAAGATAACTTGTTATTTTTTTCTAAGCTTGCGAGCGGGCGGAATCCTCCAAATCCTGCAATCTGATTGGTTCCGAGAGCGGGTGGTTTTTTACGATCTTACCTGCTAACCCGGGCGGAATCGTTGGCAGCTTCATTCACAAGTTTGTTTGTCGTTTGTGAATGAGCAAAACCGGTGATTTTTAACCACTTTTCTTTTAAAACTTGCGCTATTATTAGCGTTAGCTAGGGAAAAGTGAATTTTGTTATTCATACAAAACATCTGAAGAGAGAATCAAGCAAGTCAGCCAGGAAAACCGCTAACGTAAAGGAAAACAGGGGGCTGGTGATGTCGCTTCAATAGTTGTTTAACCTACGCTGTAAGTACTGCAATCTTGCTCTTGTGCATCGTTTATTCGAAATTTTCCTCTGTTTGTAGGTTTGTTTTCCATTTTTGTTGTTTGAATCTAGATTCTGCCGTGTTTCATTGAATTTTGCCTCGCTAGTTTTCTACTTTTCAGAAAAGGTTGTTGTCAACGGTTGCATTTAGTTTTCAATCTTAAATAAACAACACAAACAACTTTTCCAGCAGTCAGTTATCGCCGTTTTTATTTCTTTGTTTATATTCTTTTATTCGAATTCACTTCAAAATCCTAAGATTGGTATGTGTAATTTGCTCTTTTTATAAAGCCTTTGTGGAGTTTTTATAATTATCCGGCTCGATTGAATTATCTTTGCTGTATTTTCTTCCCTGTGGCTTTTAAGTTCGTCAATTCTTTTATTCTTGTTTGACACTCAGATTTTGAATTGTCTCCAAGACACAAAAACCTTTATCTATTCTAAAGAGAGCTTAATTGTGATAATATAAATGACAAGTT